GCCCTGCCCATCCATCCTCCTTGACCCACCCATGGGTGGGGGTCCCCGTCTCCACAGGGGGGCTTTTGCTGCTGTTGGGACTGCCTCTGCTAAGCCCCCCACGTGACTGCAGGGTGTAGAGAGGGGTAGAGCCCTAAGTGTTTCCTGAGAAGTACACGGAGGACACTATTGGGAACACTGTCCTCTCGCTGGCAGGCTGGCTACGAGCAGAACTTGCGGGGAAGTTTGCCCAGGGTCCACCTAACGCTGCCTCACCCCAGCCCCCCACTCCAGAATGGTAGCTAGTGGTTAAGACTGAGAAGGGGAAAATGATCATCCCTGGGGAGAAAACAGCAGCCCCCTGCCTCCTCTAAGGGCTGAGCTAGGAGCGTCAGTGAAGTCTGGGGCCGCACTGGGTCCCTCCGGGGAAGGAAGCAGCCCCAGACTCCCTGTCACTGATCTGTTTGGCCAGCGACAGCCGCTCCAACAAGCAAGAGAAGGACAAAGTGAATGATGGGGGAACTGAGGCCCTGAAGAGGGTGTGGGGCAAACTGTGACCGGGCCTGGCTCCCTAGACTCCTATTCAGGCTTTCTCCTGGCCCACGCCCCACTGAAACCCCCAGAGCATCCTCACTCCCTCTGGTCTGCTTTTCTAGCATGGAGCTTGGGGGCTGAGCCCCTGGAGGCTGTCACCACCGCAGTCATTCTGTCTGAGGAGGGAGCTCCGGTACCAAGCCTTCCTACTTCTCTCTTGATGCTTGACTGCGGACCACCCACTCAGCCTTTGGGGCTTTTCCTGAATCTCAGTAAAATCAGAGGCAGTCTGCAGTAGGGAACGTTGACCTCCAGAGAGAGGACTGGTCTTAACAGACACCAAGGAAGCAACCTTTCTCTGGGCCCCATCTGGAAAATAGGGGAGCTAACTGGGAGACCTCTCAGGGCCATCTAACCCTGACACAAGGGAAACCCTCTGCACTGAGGCCACAATGGTAGCATCTGGAAGCCGGTCTCTCATGCTTGGAGGGCAGGGGCTGTGTCAAACTCATCTCCTCCCCGAGTCCAGCACAATGCCCAGCACACTCCAGAAACATCCCCGAGCTGGATGACCTTCCTGGGAGGGGCCGTGCAGGAGTCTCTGAGCGATCCTAAATCAGGGGCTCTGCCTGATGACCTAGAACTTCTACCCATCCATCCCTAACGCCTACTCTGAGCCTCGCTCCCCAAAACAGATGACTTTTTATAGCAGATTCCACATTTCCTCACGAGCGCTGCAAGCCTGCCGGCTCACCCGGTTTGCATTTGGCTTTGAATTTGTTGTGGGGACTTCTAGGAAATCAGCAATGAGTGATTCTAATAATTGCTTGTTCTTGGAAACCTCCTAAAATAACTTGGCCAAATGAGGGTGGGGGTAGGGCAGGGCCGTCCTCTAAGATGACATTTCTCCTCCGCTCCATCCCAAGTCTAGAGTTCCAGTTACTCATAAAAGAAGTTTTTGTGTGCATAGTTCCCAATGCTAATGAATTTCCAGGAAATAGCACCAAAATGATGTTGGCATCGTTAGGGTGTGTTTTTCAAGAACTCTTGCTAGCTGCTCCCTTTTCCGGCAGGCTCCAACTGCATAAAACAAGTTTCTGGGATATGTTATTGGAGCGGTGTCTCGATGGCATGACTGATGATACCGGATTCTCAGAATCTCCTGGTCTAGGGATTCAGAGTCCTCACATGCAGAGACCGCGAATTCTCTCCTCCCGAGGTTGACACTTTCCATGGCTTCAACTCCATGGAGTTCTCATGGCTTCTGAGAAAGTCAATGTTTTTGGCCTGATCTCTTTCATTGTCATGTCTCTTCAGCTTAGCAGACAGTCTGGTGTCAGCTGAGTTCCTGAAGGACCACAGCTATCAAGGTCCTTGCGGCAGAGTCCCAGCCCACAAGGCAGCTCCATCTGGGAAGTTGCCATCATGTCCCCATGTACTTGGAGGTGCCCCTCACCCCACCCCCATGCTGTCTTCAAACCCATCCTGATGGCCTGGCCCTGTCTCAGTCCCAACCTCAATGGAGCTTCCGTTGCTAGAAAGAGGCAACCAGATCTGACCAACCCCAAGGTCACAGCTTCCTGCCGGTCTGGCGAGTGGGCGTTTAGCACCTTCCCTTGGGAGAGGAGCTAAGCCGCAGAAACAAGCTTGGGTTACATTCCAGGGTCCGGCCAACTTGGCAGCCCCATGGGTCAAGGCTGGTGTGCGGCCAGCCATGAATCCAGCCCAGCTACAAGGCATAAAACAGTGCTTTGCTGCACAGATACCCTCTCACGGGCAAGCTTCGTCAGCAGTAGCCACCCACAATCCATGATTTTGGCTGCCATGCTCTTCCTAACAATGTTTCCTCCTGCCAGGAGCCCCCACTCCACATCTTTCCTAATGTGTCTGGAACCCAGCTTCCTATGGGATCCAAATGCTACCTCTGGTGTAGTGAGGAGAGCTGCAGGCCATGGGTGGAGAGCAGAGTCCCCTCTGCCATCTCCAGTCTCAACACACCTAGTCCTGCCCAAGCAAAGTCTTGTCCAAGAAAGCCTTGAGGCTTTCTCACCAGTTCTGCATGTCTGAGCTTCATCAGAGGCAGGAGCTGAGGTTTCAACTCTGAAACATCAAGGGGACCCTTCATCATGGACATCTGAGCTTCATCAGAGGCTGAAGTTGGGGTCTTGGCTCTGGAACATCATGGGACCCCCTCACGCTGGCTGTCCCAAGTTTCATCGAAGGCTGGAACTGGGATCTCAGCTCTGGAACATCAAGGGGACCCTCCTTTGGTTGCATAAGCCACAATGGAGTCTGGAGCTGAGGTCTTGGCTCTAGAACATCAAGGGGGCCACTGAGCATGGACATCTGAGCTTCACCGGAGGTGAGGGCTGGAGTCTCAGCTCTGGAACATCAAAGAGACCCCTCATTCTGGACACCCAAATGTCATCAAAGTCTGGAGCTGGGGTCTTGGCTCTGGAACATCAAGGGAACCCTCATTCTGAATGTTCAAGTTTCACCGAAGGCTGGAACTGGGGTTTCAACTCTGGAACATCAAGGAGACCCTCCTTCTGGCTGCAGGAGATTGATTGAAGTCTGGAGCTAAAGTCTTGGCTCTAGAACATCAAGGGGCCACTCGTCATGGACATCTGAGATTTATCAAAGGCTGGAAATACAGTCTCGGCTCTGGAATATCAAAAGGACCCTCATTCTGGATACAAGATCTTCACTGGAGGCTGGAGCTGGGGTCTCAGCTCTGGAACATCAAGGGTCTCCTTCATCATGGACATCTGAGCTTCATCAGAGGCTGGACCTGGGATCTTGACTCTGGAACATCATGGGGATTCTTCATGATGGACATGTGAGCTTTTTCAGAGGCTGGAGCTGGGGTCTCAGCTCTGGAACATCAAGGGGGCCCTTCATCGTGGACATCTCAGCTTCATTAGAGGCTGGAGCAATGGTCTTGGCTCTGGAACATCAAGGGGGCTCTTTCTTCATGGACATCTGAGCATCACTGGAGGCTGGAGCTGGGGGTCTCAGCTCTGGAACATCAAAGAGACCTCTGAGCATCTAAGCATCACAACAGCTGGAGCTGGGGGCGGGTCTCAGCTCTGGAACATCAAAGGGACCCTTTTTCACAGACATCTGAGCTTCATCAGAGGCTGGAGCAGTGGTCTTGGTTCTGGAACATCAAGGGGGCCCTCCGTCATGGACATCTAAGCTTCATCGGAGGCTGGAGTGGTGGTCTTGGCTCTGAACATCAAGGGGGCCCTCCATCATGGACATCTGAATGTCACCAGAACCTGGGAGTCTGTCCACTATGGGCAGGACTCTCCTGGCCCCTTGGCCCCATCTTGGCTGGGATGGACTCATCTCAGTGGGACACACTCCAGAAGCCGCCTTCTCCTTGTCTCCACGCTGCCTGGCCCATACTCTGCGCCGTGGGTGTTATCATCTCCATCAGGACTGGAGTCAAGTCTCCTTGGCTGAAACATGGCCATGGGCACCAAGGTGGTTCTTTCTTTCTGCAAAGGGGCCATGCTCAGCCCCATGCACTCATGGTGTGACTCTCCTGTAGTTCTCTTGGGGCACCTCCCTGTGTAGGGGTGGGGAGGGGAGGAGGGGAGGGGAGGAGGGGAGGGGAGGAGGAAGAGAAGAAAGAGGAAGAGGAGGAGGAAGGAGGAAGAGAAGGTAGGAAGAAGGTGATGAAGGAGTTAGTAGGAGGAGGAAGAGGGAGCAAGAAGGTAAAGGAGGAAGGATGAGGTGAGGGAGGTGGCAGTGGAGACGTTTCTGATGTTGATGGTGGCAGTGGCAGAGGTCAGTCTCTCCTTTTTCCACTGGTTGCGTGTCCAGATCACCTGTTCCTTGGCAAAGCCTGGTGTGCCGACCCCAGGACTCGATGGGGACGTGGGTCCACGGCTCCCTTGCCCTTGCTCCTCTCAGTCACCACTCGGCCAACAGCCTGACTTTCCTGAGCTGGGTCTCAGGGGCACCAGGCTCAGTGCCCGTGCTGGTGGGGATAGCAGCTGCTTCTGGGGGTCCACCCCTGCAGCCTCCTTGGGTCCTGCTGAGCTCAGTAACCATCCTGTGCGGTGAGCGTCGGCCCCAGGGCATCTGCCAGCTGGCCGCACACTCACTGTCAGCTCGAGCAGGACCACAGCTCTGCCTGGCCCCGGCAAGACCCTGGGAGGAGCGCCGGAGGAGGGGAGGAAGAGCTGCAGCCTGGGGGCAGTCCCCCTGGGGCTCTAGGGACCCCAAAACTGCGCTCAGCTCCGACTTCCTCCACTCCCCAGCTACATTCCTTTCTGGAAAGGAAACTGGCATCCCATAAACCATTAAAGGAGGGGGACCCACCCGAGTTAGTTCACCCCAACACACTCAGCCACAGGAGTTCAGTGTGGGATCCCCCGCCCTCCCCGCCCGCCACACACCCCGGGGGGAGAGCAGCCCCAGCCAGACAGGACACCCGACAGTCACCCTCCTCATATTAGTAGCACACCCATCACTGCTGTTGTTAAGGCAAGAAACACATTTATTGAGAGCACAATAGGGTGTGCCAAGCCCCAGGTCAGGCGCTTTCAAACCACATCACTCGCTCCTCACAACAACCCTGTGAGGTAGGTGTCCTCAGGTGTGGGCCAGTGAACGCTCCGCGGTTCCCCCAAGTCTCAGGGCTCCTGAGGGGTGGGCAGGGGTCCAGCCCACGTGTCTGAGCCTCAGATCAGTGCAGTCCATCAGCCAGAGGACGGGTGGCTACGCAAGGAGAGGCCAGGAGGGCTTGCCCCTCCTCGCAGGGGGCGGCCCTGGTCCAGAGTCTTTGGGTCCGGCCTGTCCCGCGGGGACGTGTGCAGGGTGTCCCTGTGGCTGCGGAGGCTGAGAGAGACACAGGTGCAGATGAAGGGGCCCGCTCCCCGTCTCACTGGCTGACAAGAGTTCTCATGCAGACAGGCAGGCCGGGGGGGCGAGGAGAGGAGAGCAGCCCCGGGACTGGACGCCACTGGACAACACAGGGAGAAGGCCCCGGCTCCCCGCAGCCGTGGGGGGCCAGGGGAGCACCCAGGCACCTGCTCCAGCCCCATCTAGCTAGTGCCTCTCCATCTCTGGGCTCCCCCACCCACAGAGACTTCCAGAAGCGTAGCCTTAGGACCTGACACCTTCCTGCACCCGTGACCTCTGCAAGTCCTTTCCTCACCACCCCCGGATTCCAGAACACTTGGCCTTTCTGAACACCACCCAAACCACTGCCAACTAAACTTGGATATTCTCTAAAATATCAGCCTCTCCCTCCTCTGGGGGTTCCTGAAAGTTCTCCCTGACCCCACCTCCCCCACCCACGCCGCCCCCTATACCTTTGGCCTCAACTCCCCTCCCCCCGAGCCTTGTTAAATCTCTGTATTTAAAAGCCAACCCTTCCCTCCCTCCCTCCCGGCCTCCCAGAGCCTGCCGGGTGCTTCCCTGACGTCCTCCACACCACACACCAGCCACTCGGGTCGCCACAGTTCTGGGGAGCACAGGGCTTTGGTGACCAGTGCCCACAGGCCACAGGGCACTGTGGTCAGACCCAGGGCCCACCGGAGAACAAGGGGTGAGGCCACCTGTGTGCCAGGTAACAAAGCATTTATTTTCACAGAAACAATGTCATTGAATCCCACAGTAACCGTGCCAGGGAAATGTGACTATTTCCAGGGTACAAGGGAGCAAAAATCAGCAACACCCAAGAGTGGCCTCGAACCCAAACCCTGATTCTCTGAACCAGCATACGGGGTGCAGCAAGGCACACTCTGCACTCGGGGCTCACCGGTGTCCTCTGAGCGGATTCTATTTTCCGTACCCATTCTACGGATGGGAAAACCAAGACTCGGGGTACCAATGACCTGCGCAAGGCCACCATGCTGGCAAACGGTGGCACCAGGACCAGAATTCAAAAGAGCAAGACCTAGAGAGTCCCGTCCCTCAACCTGTGCCCAGGTACCGTGCTTTAGGGAGTGAAAGCGGATGAAAGGAACCTAGGTCTGGAGTCCTTGTTTTGGGGGTGCCTCCAGCTGCATATCAGACTTGGCCCATGCCTTACAAGTTAATTGTCACCCACGGTGGGAACAAAGACATCTCAGGGGGAGACATCCACAGTCCCAGGGAGGGTGTGGGCATGACCAGGGCTTCCCTCCAGCCTGGGCATTACCCAGTGCCACGTTACCAGAATCACTTGGGCCACAACACAAACGAGGTCACTTGAGCCTAAATGAAGTTTTATTCTAGACATAAATACATCCAAAAATGTGCAGAAGACAGACATTTCTATCGGGAGGAACCCTCCTCTGGGCTGCACCTTCCCTGGACGGTGGGGGGAAGACCCCCAGCACACGTGGAGACCCTCAGGATTTGCCCTGAAGAGTCTTTGCCAAGAAAACACACTTTCCCCCTAAAGAAACAGTGTGGACTCAACTCGCCTATTAGCTGACTGTCAATTCAGTTCTTCCCGCCCATGAAAAACCCTGCCTTGTCAGTCCGTGAGCGTCTATTAGGCGACTACTAGTGCCTTGAAGGGTCAAAGCAGCACAGATCCTGCCCTCAGGAAATGGGGACCCAGCCCTGCCCATTTCTAGGGGTGGTTGGGATATCAACAATGGGTCACACAAAGGCCTAAGCTTCCAGGAGTCTGAGGCCCATTGGGGAGCAGACACCTGAACACAGACTCAGAGTCCCCTGGGAGGAGGGCCCTATCTACCTGTCCTCAGGAGCCTGGAGGCAAGCCCCACCCCCCGGCCCTGCTCAGACATGTTCTCAAGGATGTGGGATGTCCACGGGCCAGATGGCAAGAATGATACAGTGCGAGCCCCCACAGCGAAGCCCAAGGGAGGGGAGGGTGGGGGAGCTGGTCCTAGTGCCCCCAGCGGCAGGTGCAGGTCTAGCATGAGGCCAGACCTCACAATCAAAGGCTAACAGAAGGGGCGCCTGGGTGGCTCAGTGGGTTAAGCCGCTGCCTTTGGCTCGGGTCACGATCTCAGGGTCCTGGGATCGAGTCCCGCATCGGGCTCTCTGCTCAGCGGGGAGCCTGCTTCCTCCTCTCTCTCTGCCTGCCTCTCTGCCTAGTTGTGATCTCTGGTTGTCAAATAAATCAATAAAATCTTAAAAAAAAAATGCTAACAGAAGTGGCCAGGTGGCCGGCTGCGAGGGCCATAGAGTGGCCAGGTCCTGCCCACCGAGGCTGTGCAAGCAGGAGGCAGGAAGAGAGGGAGGCCAGTGAGGCTTCTGCTGCGGAAGGCGGGGCAGGAGAGAGGCTGGGGTGCAGAACTCCAAGCCACCCGGGCGGCAGGACGCTGCTTCCTTCACGCATCAGACAAGGGCCAGGCGAGAAACTCAGGGGTCTCCTGAGATAACCCCCCCACCTCAAATGACTCCCAATACCTCATTTAATGCGGCCAAGCTTCCCAGTCCCACTTGGAGCCAACCGAGCTCTGGAACACAATGGACCCCTGCCAGGGGTCAAGAACACGTGGGCCTGCAGAGGCTGGCCTCAGTCACTGGGAGAGCTTGGCTGGCAGGGTCAAAGGGCACCGTTCAGCCTGGCTCTGTTCCCCGCCCCCCGTCTCTGATCTCAGCTACCTCATTGAGAAACTGGGCCCACACTCCAGTCAAGCAGGAAGCTTGTGGGGTAGAGCGGTTAACAGCCCCGCCCCCAGACCAGACTGCAGACTGACTTCTCCACCTTCCAGCCAGAGAAGGAGGGAAGAGGGGGTGTGAGGAAATAAGGAACACAAGCCTTTCCCCTGCAGAGCAGAAGATGTCCCCTCTTCCTGCCTGGCAGACTCGACCTCAGGCACACACGGACATCTGCAGAAGCCGCCACAGACATGGAGTCGACAGGTACAGCAAAGCCCCAAGCAGTCCTCCCCAGGCAGCAACAACCTCCATGGGAGAAGCAGCAGCCAGGATGGAAAGTGGGACGAGGGGGGAGGTTCCAAGGAAGGAAAAAAGCCGTCACTCATTAATCAAACCAGTATTCACCCTGGGCCAGCTCCCTAACCACTTGCAGACCGCTCAGCCTCTGTCTTACACGTTCCATTGACTGCTGAAACACAACCGGCAAAGGTTCGGAACTTTCCAGACAACCCTCAGCATTCGACCATTCCCAATGAGAGCCGGAGTTTGGTCAGCTCTGTTGTAATGGACCTAGCCCCTGGCCTCACAACCACCCAGTGGAAGGAGCTTTCTGGTGACCCAGCGGAGAAAAAGAGACTGAGGGTCAAAGAGGAGAAGTGATTCGCTCAGCACTGCCCCGTTCGCTAGGTGCCCCCCCGGGGGGGGGTCTGCAGGTTCTAATTTGTAACACAGTACACGGACGGCTGAAGTTTCATCACACGGAGCCCCAAACGAGAATCCTGGTTTTCCGACAACACACGTCATACAGAAGTCCGTGAGATACGGTACAACGATTGTTAACAGGCTAATCAGGAGTGAAATATAAGCTCTTGGGAAGGGTTTTAACATCTGCCACTGGCGTGTGGTTACAGTTCACGGTGTGGGTGAAATGGAAGGTGACCCCTACCACTGGCTTGGTACTGTGTTAGGCACCCGGGCTGCTGGCATTTGAGCCCAAATGTTGGTAACTGAGAGAGGGGACGTGGCCGTGTCTTTGATGGCCGGTACCTAATATTCCGGTGGGCGGAAGCGGGGCGGGGCAGGGAGGGGGCACTGCTAAGGAGATCCCTTATGGAAACAGGCATGTGTGTTAAGTGCCGCCCACAGGCCAGACACAGCGGTAGGCAAGACCCAGTGGGTGCTTCCAACCTTTTACAGAGGTGAGCGTGAACGCGTACCCCAGGGGGGCAAGGGTGTTGCCCAAAGAGGCCCCCATCCCACTGGCATAAAGGTCCCTGCCAGAATGACTTCTATCGAACCCACGACGCCATGCCAACTTAGCACCCCATCCCACGATGCCCGCTGCCCATCTGGCGAAGCAATTTCCCGCTAACCTGCTGAGTCAGGCTGTCCCCCCCCCTCGGCCTGCCATCCACCCCCAGCAGCCCCCCGGGGGCACGCACACCGCCTGGTCAGAAACCCAGTTCAAAACCTTGGTTACAAGAATCCTCACAACAGCCCTGCGAGGTGGGTGCCGTTGTCCCCCCAGAAGACAGACTCAAGCTGTCACGGTCAGTTTAAACCACACACGTTTGTCCAGCTCCGGGGTCCTGGCTTTGCTCACTACGCCCTCTCTCCAATGCAATGAATAAACCGCAGAATTCTAAGGAGAGGCCCCAAGACTTCTGCCTTGTTCCATATGGGCAGCAGTGAGCTAAAGGGGGCAGGGGTCCCCCCCGGCCTGGGACCCGCGTCAACACCGGGGCCGTGTCCAGGTTTGCGAAGCACCACGTGTGTTGGATGCCCAGGTCTGCCAACAGATCATTCCAAGCAGACCCCCGCACGGGGCATGAACCCGGTCACCTTTGTGTGCAATCATCTCTCCCAATTTTCTCTAAACAGAACCCACCATTAACTAATTTTGAAAGGGACAGGAATGGCTCTAGGATCACCACCGGGCAAGACCAGGGTTCTTAATGACTTAAAAGCCAGCTCACGGCCAGAAGCAGCCGTCCATCTCAGACCCCCTAGCCGTCACTCTGGCCTCTTAAGGACACAGGTTATGATTTCTGAACACCTGGGTACACACTTTGCTGATTACCAATCAACCTAGTTTTGTAAGGAACAAAGTCAGGGAGGGCAATCAAGCTTCCCATGGAACTTGGGTCTTGAAGTTGGGGGAGCTGAGCCAAGGGTCAAGCCTTCTGCTGACACAAAGACGCGGCCCCTTGCAGACGGGCTCGTCTTTTCTTCCAGAAGGAGATCACTGGGATGAGTCCCTGGGAGCCAGCTCC